ACATCTGTAGTAAGACCATTATAAAATAAGAAAGGAGAGGCACAATATACTAGTTGTCAAGAATTGTTTGAAAGACTTCTGGCAGTGGTAAGCATTACAGACAGATTTTATATTAGGAGTTCATCCTAGTCAGAAGATGGGGCATAGATCAAAGGACAAACATGTTTAAAGGACCTTGTATATGATAACAAGTGAAAGCTGGATCATAACCAAGAAAAATCCAAAATAAACAGCAAAAATTACAAATAAAAAAGTAGTTATGCCAGAGCTATACTATGCACTGAAGGAGAAGAGAAATGGCTTGTTATTGATACATTAGAGTGAGACCTCTTAGGTCATCAGAGCAGCCTCATTGTCACATGATTCTCACATGATGCAGGAAAAGTATTTACAGATGTCTTGATGATGGACACCTGGGGTTATTTTCCTGTTGTTCTTTCTTCTCTATTTTTCATAACCTGTTTCATAACCATATTTTTCTGTGTGCAATGTATTAAATTTTGGTGCTGCCAACAATTAAATGATCAGTTCTTAACATAGCAAAAGTATTTTCAGCCAATAATTACTGCCATGGACTGAGCTGCTGGTGCTGACTACTTCTAATGTTCTGTGACCCCTTTTGAAATATTTCATTATCAGAGTTTGAGGAATATTAAGCTCAGTTAAATAAGCCAGGCTACTGCTGCCTTTAATCAAGAAATAAATTATGTGTTCTGTGTTCCCCATCTCTTTTTAGGAATTCTTCTCAGTCCTATTGAAGTTAAATTAATTTTCTTTATGATCCTAATTACTGCTTTATGTCTTGCACAGTGGCATCACTTCTGCTTTACCCATTAACACTGCTGCAGATATCCATCAATGAATAGCTGTCAATTAGTGTGACATTAGTGTTACCAGGAATATACCTTCTACTGAATCCTAGGATTGCATTTTGATGCACCAGAAAGGTGTTTTACAGTTTTTCTCTAATTAAATAACACATTAAGGTCTTATTCTTCACCATCTCTGGAAGCTGTCTACAAGTAGATTTCTAGTGGACATCCCTTGTTAGTCCCCATGACAAAGCTCTGCATGATTTCTGTAAATCTAACAAAATATGTGGAGTGGCTGGGGGAAAGGAAAGGTCACATCCTTTCTCAGATCAATCTTATGCTATGCCATATATAGCTTCTCTGCAAAGCAAGCTAAATATAAATTGAAAGGAGCTTGTACAATTTATGCTTCTCATGGTACTGCACTTATAGAAACATGCCACTATGCTGAAGAAACTTGTAAGTAAGGCAGGAGGTGAGAACATGGTAACTAGGCTGTACTATAAAAATCAAGACACTGAAGTTCATAGAATCACAGCATGGTTTGGTTTGGAAGGGACCTTAAAGATCCCCTACTTCCAAATCTCCTGCCATGGGCAGGCACACCTTCCACCAGACCAGGTTGCTCAAAGCCCCATCCAACCTGATCTTCAACACTTCCAGGGATGGGACATAAACTTCTCTAGATAACCTATTCCAGCTACCACCCTCATAGTGAAGAATTCTAGTATTTGTCAAAATAGAAGCAAGAAAGATGAAGTTTTAGAATCCTTGAAAGTATGGCCTGGAAATGATTGTAGAGTCTTGTTAACCAGCCTCAGAGACTACTGAGAAAGTGTATCTGCTAGTGAGGATTCATACCGTGTAACCTTAAAAATGTGTTTTCCTTTTATAATGTTATTCTAACATCCATCTGCAGCTTTAATAAATGTAGCATTTTACATTTAAATCTTTACATAATTCATGGATCTGACATGCTAGACACGCAAATCACTTGGGCTCACAGGATCCATGACTCAAGGATGAACAATCCAAACTACATTTCCCCACTTAGCTGTAATTTCCCAGGAATTCTTTGGCCAACCCATCACTGAGCACCAAACACTTACTTGGAGGATTGCCTACAGATGATTCTTTCAGCATCAACCTCAGTCTTTTTTTTTTTTTTTTTTCCCCAGGCAAAATAATATGAGAGAACCTAGGACTTTTGGGTCTCCATGAACTCCCAACTCCCTTCTGAAATTCCTGCATGCATGATCTTCGATTTTTGCTCTAATCTGTTAGATCTTCAAGTACATTCGTAGTTTCTCTATGATCTCCAGATCTCTAACTCCAGCCTCTTCTCTAAAATCCACATTATTCTGTAATTCCTGATGTTTTCTGTCATTAGCATATGATAGAGGCCATTCTACTGACACATTTCTTTGTTTAGACTCAGCTGGACTGTAAAGGTGTTGGAGCAGAGAGCTACCTATCAACAAATCACTTTTATGTGTTCACAAAGCTTTTGTTACATTTTTAATTCAAAGAGATTTGTTCATTAACCATTTGCATCCTTAAAAATGTCATTAAGTTTAATATAATTTGAAAGGAATGGAATTTGCACCATGACCGTCCACACAATTTACCTCTATTATTATCTACTAATTCAGGTGGGTGCACTGATGAGGATTATATCATTCTGGACTTTTTAATTGCTATTTTACAGGCATCAAGAATTCACTACTGCTCGTAAATATCAAGAGTTTCTTATAGTACTCCTCAGCACAAGTCTGAAAACACAATATCCAAAATTATGAAAGCCAGAAAAGCCATTACAAAGAAGCAGCATTCAATGTGCTCCTGACTGTAAATACATCTGAAGTTCTTTTAAATATGTATGTATGTATGTACAGTGTCATGTAACTAGCATCCCCCTCCCTAGACAGAATACCCCTTAGTGAATGGCACTTTGACAGCACATCGCTTTCATTGCCAAATTAGTTCTTCTGAGCTCATCACTCTGGAATCAAGTGCCTTGTTCTGAATAGAGCTCCTCTCAAATTTCAAAGTCTCTAAACATAGGAACTTCATTGCAAAATAAATAAATAAATAAATAAATAAGGCCTAGTGTTTTTTTATATAAATTTTCAGTGAAATCATAATGATCGTTTGTATGCTGCACTAGTCTATATTAACATAGATATTACAGATATCCCAATTTGAGTGATAATAAGTAAAAATTAAAAGGGTTGATTCTTATATCCTACCCCTCTCAGACCATTTCATTAAAATGAGCCAGATGAAGCACAAAGTACATTCTTCAACTCAACAGCTAATCTATATTAGGAAATTAAATATTGCCAGGTTCCATTTTCTCAGGCTGGGCCGTTGACACATTCTGGTCATGATCATGCTACATAATGATATTCTGGTACCCAGAGCAGTGTACAACTGCCAGCTGACAACACTTCCAGGGCTGGCCTTATGCCCAAACTCTACATGGGAAATATTTGGGTTAGTAACAGCTGATCAAGGCAAAAAGAATAACAGTGACTGCCATAAGAATTTAATCATTTAGACTATCAGCATCCTGACAATGCTTAATTTTCTTGTTTAGATGTCAGCATGGCTGAAGTTTATGGATACACTAGAACCAACAGCATAAACTCAACAGAATTCAGCAGGGCTGGGATGACAAATCCTAAGTGCATATCAACCTACAAAATGCTTATGCTGCCATTTGCTTGTTAAAATGACTAACAGGGTTTAGTTCAAACCTAATTAAACTAATAGGGAGTCTTTCTACTGACTGTATCTGAAGGAAGCAGAACCTCAGAGTTAAATATGTTACTCTTCTGTGACATGTTCATCCTCCTTTGTCCTCAAGGACATCCCTGGTCATTTTTAGAATAGTCCATTTATTCATTAAGAGTCCTTTCATTCTGCCTGTGTCATCATACTGCTCTGCTAGAAGCTTCTCTTTATATCTCATGCTTATCTGATTTCAGTTTTGCTTCTGATACTCATACATATGCCTCATAGATGAAGCTTTCAAAATTCCAACTGGGGTTTCTGTCCTTTTTTCACTGGTTAAATGGTTCACCTACAGCCAATTCAGAATTTTGCTATGATATTATCAACCAAAGAACAGAACTTTCTCTTTGTAACACTTACCATAAATGTTTAGTTACTCAGATTACTCAAAACCAGAAAATGGTACTGCAGTGAAAGACAACTCCATCCCTAGTGTTTGTTGTTTGGGTGATATAGCATGGGTTTATGCTGGCAGGCAGGGAGATCCAAAAGAACGGGTTAATGGAGTGAAAGGAGGCTAAAGTTGTGCCTAAAGGCACAACTCCAAGTTTTGGAGATTTCATTTTGGGCCAGTGCTAGTCAGGTCATGTGGATTGAATGTCCATTTGAGGCTGAAGAAAATTAGATGTACCCCTGGTCTTCCAGCTTAGTTCAAGCTAAAGAAATTCAGTTTGTACACTCCAGGATGACTCAGTGATGGTAAGTGGGGACAACTGGGACATCAGTCTCACAGTTTACTCTGGTTCAAACTAAAGTCCACCTATAACTTTGTTCTGTTGGTCAGGAAAAGATCTGAAGATATATTAAGAGATTTTATACAAATGTTTAGCAAATATTGTCTGGAGATAAATGTAGACAATGCTAAAACCAAGCAAAAGCTTGTAATATTCACCTGTTTGATAAAAATGAATAAATACTCATGTGTTGAAACACCATTACAAAGAAGATTATAGGATGCTGAAATCAAAACAGCAAGAAAGGATAATTCTAGAAGAAATTAAAACATTAGGGAAGGAATATAGAACTGCAGACCATGGGCTGACTCCAAAAGGCTCACATCTGGTCTACATTAAATTATAGTTCTGAAACATAAAGTTTCAAGCAAATATTTTTGAAGAAACTGTTTCTTAGGGGAGTTGAATATAGATTTGTACTTTACTGACTTAGTGTATATATAGCACAACAGATTATAAATAACACATAAAACAAAAATAAAGAGTCATTAGCATTTGTGTCTTCCTTGATCCACTTAATTAGAAAACATCTGTGGTGTAGTCAGTGTTCTTTTCCATAATTGCTTAATAGGCAACAGGATAATATGATGCCAAAATATGTCTTTGAGAGATTTTAGCTCACCAATTTACTGTGCATATGTTTTAAATGTTTTTAAAGGTGTATTTTCATCATACAAAGATGAGCAGTCATCGAACACCAATAAGGTACGTCAACTACTTTTTCTTTTTTTAATACTTTTTTGAAGTGAAAATGAAGTTAAGAGATGGCTTACACAGGGATGATTTGGATAGATGAAATTGGGAATTTTTTAAAATTGATAAAGGTTGAATTTCTTTCTTGGTTAAGTTTTGTATCCAGGTATTGTAACACACGAGAGTTTTAAATCTCCTAAATCTGCAAAGACCAATGCAGGATTAAAAGACAAAAATGTAGATTAGAAAAGTTTCAAAATTAAATCTGAATTTCATATTTGTCTGTTGAAGCATGAACACTATACATTTTTAAATATACTTTTCTACCATATAGTGGTTATAGTTAGTTAAAGAAAAAAAAATTACATAATACTAAGTAATGTCCATTGGCAGAAAAATAAAAAAAGTAAAATTTTGAGTGTTCTATCCCATGTGTAAATTCAAAGGAGAATAAAAACCAAAATAAAAGCTTGTTAGTGAATACAAAAATGTAGGGAACAAACTTATCCGTGAGTGTCCAAGCTTGGCTGAAAAAGACCATGTCAGAAACAAATCTTTTTTAAAGAGTGGATTTATTTATTCACTAGCAACAACTGTTGTTTCTTACCAAAAGCTGTTGTTTTGTTTGTACTTTTATATCCTTTAAATATCTTTATAAAAATTAACTGTCCAGCTAAAATCCCTGTAAATCGTGGCCTGTCAACTTTCTGACTTAACAGTCTGTTTGCATTTGAATTTGTAATTTTGATTGCCAGATCATTTCTTTTTTCTTGTTTTTCTTTTTCTTTATCTTTTTCTTTTTCTTTTCAGTAGACTAAGTATGTAGGTTGAGGGAGAGTGTCAACATTTTAGAAGGGAGGGATTATGAGAATGAGATTTTATTTCTCTTCTCCTCTTGTTTCCTTACAGGTAGTTTTCAAATATTACTTTCCACCCTTAGTTCTTGATCTGTTAATTCTCTAAAAAAAATGAAGGTTAGATTGACCCTCTTGTTTCACAAAGCACTTTCACTGGACTCTCGAAAAGCCACCACAGAAGGGTAGCATGGGGGAGAGAATGGTACTTGGAAGGAAGGACGATGACGGGAGAGCAGAAAGAGGAGGTGAGGAGGCAGCAGGAAGAGTGGAGTTGGGGAAGAGAGGTAAGATGTCAGTCTACAGTCTATTTATTTTGAGCTAGCTATCTGACTGCTTTTGTTTTGGGAGTACAGACTTTCTCCCTGTGAAATGACCAAATTATTTTTCTTTCTGTCCATCTTGAGCTGTGGAATAATCAGAGCCCACAAAGAGTAAATTAGAGTTTGATGGCTGTTGTAACAATGAGGATGAAAAGTCAAAGAATTTCTTAAAATAAGCCTTTCCTCTCATGCATTGCCATACGTGCCAGCACCAAGCGTTCCTGACAGGAGTGAGAAAGAAAGTGAGATAAAATTCCAATTAGATCAACTAAATTCAGTGATGAAGGTGATGCTCTAAACACCAAGAAAAAGCAGTGAGAGCAAATACCAAAGCTGCTGTAAGACAAACTCCTAGTATAATATATAGATAATGACATTTAAAAATCTTTTTTTGTGTGTGTGTTGTTGATGTCTTTTGTTGTTTGTTTTTTTTTGTTTGTTTGTTTTTTTTTCTCTCTTCTTCTGTTTCACAGGGAGACAATTTTCTGACAAGTTTTCCATTTACAATGCCCTCAGATTTTAACAATGTATTCAGGTTGTGTAAGAATTAATTATGAGGTAGCAATAGTTTCTGGTAAATATAATCAAAGATCACTAACAAGACCAGTAAAATATTTTGAAGATATTAAATTTATAGTCATTGGAGCATAGAAAATCATATGGATGGACATGACAAAAAAAAAAAAAAAAGCATATTTAAATTAGAATTCTCTTAAATTATCCCTCAGTTAAGAAGTGCTTTAAACTTCTTTTTTTTTTTCTTTTCAATTAAAAAAAATAAAAGAGGCCAAAGTTGGCCATATGATAAATCACAAGCATTATTGGATAAATCTGATATTGGACAGATATTCTTTTAAGAGTATCTTAGGACTAGTTTTCTTCCTCCAGCTACATTCAGTTTACATTATTAAGAATTTAAAGGGACATGAATAGAATTCAGGTTTATACTTTCTCTGCAGAAGACATCACCTGTCACATAGTCAAGATCCCAAATCTTTTCTCAGAAAAAGGGCTTTTCTGAGATAAAATTGTTCAGTGTAAACATTTTATAATGGTATTCTGCTGGTAGAATGCAATTATGGATTGTGTTTAAGCTTCTTGTAATTAGGCCAGAGTCTTCAGCACATAACTAAAGAAAAAACAAGATAAGAACATGAGGGCTTTTGTTGTACATAGTGACTAGGACAGAGATTTAAAGCCTTCTAAAAAGAAAAGCGCAAGTGTTTTCTTTCTATTGATTATGTTTATTGCATAGTATTTATTAAACCAAGACTTCAGAGTTTATCTTGGTCTGCAGCGGGAACCAAAAAGATTTATCCTCTTGCATAGGAGGGAAAACAAATGGAAACAGCAGCCGTTAATGACCTTTTTAATAGAGTCAAAAACTCACCATATTTTGGGCATGTTGACTAGGGCAAGACCATTCCCTAATAATATTAAAAATCTCCTGGAGTTCAATGGCACAAACAAAGTGATTTTTTCCCACTGCAGAGTCCTTTGACCTTATAAATGGGTTTGTTTTCTCCTATATTTTTCCCATGGTATACTACATGTGTTTTTTTGTTTGTTTGTATGTTTGTTTGTTTTTTATCTTTTATACTATATGTCTTAAATTATCAGATACTTGGAAGAGTTCTGTGGACAGTGTTGTTTAAAGCAGAGTTTGGCACAGATATCCTGGAATCTTTTCTAGATTATGCTGTTGCCTGTGATTATGAAAGTCTGGACTTGATGACTTGATGATTTCAGTGTGCCAAGCATGGGTCACTAGTTGTGTTCCTAGAAGTTTTTGATAATTTTTTATTAAGAATGGTGATACTGAAAGTAGAACAGAGGCAACAGATAGCTATGGGAATGTGGAAAAGGAAATTACAATTGCTGAAGTGGAAACCAAAAGTCAAACAACTTAATGTACTCAGGTTGGGGGAGACAAATAATCTCCTTGCAATACTGCATGCACTCACACATGAACATGTATGTCCAACAGCAGAAATTCTAATAAATCTGTTAAATCAGGGAAGGTACAACTGGAAAACAGTCAACACAGGATATACATTTATGAAACAGAAAATAAAAATTATCGGGGCAACTACACAATGTGTTTCTTGTAGTAGTGTGCAAGGCTTTAGAATACTTCAAGAACGATTAAAAATATGGAAGTACATGGAAACTGAAATGTTGCATGTATTCACCCATTTTGCATTTTATTGAACCAGTACAATGGCTTTTTAGATGAATAATTTTCTAAGACAATCAAAATCAATGCAATTTCTCAGGACTCCATTAAAGAATTTTATGTGATTTAATATGAAGAAATTAATTAGTTATGATTAGTTAACTGAAATTTATCTGAGCATTATAAAACTTTACTGATGCTTTTTATTCAAAAAGTCTTTATTCAAGGCTTCACTAGTGATTTTGACCAAAAAAAAAAAAAAGAGCATATGGTGATTTTTGCTAACAAAATTAGAAAGTGTTGCTACAGAGAAAGACAGGAAAGCATTATGAAGGATTGAATAATCCTGAACATGCAAAAAAGGTCTATGTAGTAAATGTAACAGTACAAGAGTGAAGTACTACACACTGATGGACTTGGACTAAGAGGAATTTTTGCTATAAGACAAAACTTCCAAACAGGAAGGTGAGTGATCTTAGGGAATCAGTTATCATAAAATGACAAAATGTCTGTATCATGCAGTATCATGAAGCTAGGCAATAAAAGAACAGCTGTAATCTTACACCACATCTTGTGAAATACTTGTGAAGTAGATCTAACATAGCAAGGCCATTGTCAGAGAGCTTTTTGAGCAAGAGGAATCTCTGAAGAGCCTTCCAGTCTGGAATAACTGTGCACTATTCTGCTTATCTATCTTTAGATTAATTCAAGAGGGAATGGGAGCAAATATAAACTAGATCAAAGTAATTAAGAATGAAACATATAAGAGGAGGCAAAAAAGCTTTGCTTGTGGTTTTTTTTTTGCTTGTTTGTTTTGTTTTGTTATTTTGTTTTTTAGTGTAGGGAAATGAGAAAGTACATTTTTCTCCAACAATAGAGAGAAAATCCATGTAAACTGAAGGATATGGTTGGTATTGAACTAATTGAGTGTTAAATGGACAGTAATTCATGTAAGATGTAGAGAGTTCATAGAATCACAAAATCATAACATCATAGAATGACAGAATGGTTTGACTTAGAAGGGACTTTAAAGGCCATCTAGTTCCAACCCCTCTGTCATGGGCAGGGACACCTCCCACCAGACCAGGCTGCCCAAAGCTAGCCTGGCCTTGAACACCTCCAGGGATGGGGCATCCACAGCTTCTCTGTTCCAGTGCCTCAGCACCCTCAGAGTAAAGAATTTCCTCCTAATCTAAATCTCCTCTCTTTTAGCTTAAAACCATTCCCCCTTGTCATAGAATCATAGAATCATTAAGGCTGGAAAAGACCTTCAATATCATCTGGTCCAACCATCACCCTACTACCAATGTCACCCACTCAAACATGTCCCTGAGCCAGGTCCAACCTTTCCTTGAACACCCCCAAGGACAGTAACTCCACCACCCCCCTGGGCAACCCATTACAATGTCTAACTGCTCTTTCTGAGAAGAAACGTCTCCTAATTTCTAAACTAAACCTCCCCTGGTGCAACTTGAGGCCATTGCCTCTAGTCCTATCACTAGTTACCTGAGAGAAGAGGCTGACCCCCAGCTTCCCACACCTTCCTTTCAGATAGCTGTAGAGAGCAGTATAGTCTCCCCAGAGCTTCCTCTTCCCCAGACTAAACAACCCCAGTTCTTTCAGCCGCTCCTCATAGGACTTATGTTCCAGGCCCTTCACCAGCTTTGTAGCCCTTCTCTGGACACATTCCAGGGCCTCTATGTCCTTCTTGTGGTGAGTGGCCCAAAGCTGAACACAGTACTCGAGGTGCCACCTCACCAGAGGGGAATGGTGAGGGGAATGGTACAGGGGAACGATCACCTCCCTGGTCCTGCTGACTACACAATTCCTGATACAAGCCGTTGGCCTTCTTGGCTACCTGGGCACACTGCCAGCTCATGTTCAGATAAGCATCAATCATCACCCCCAGATCCTTTTCCTCTGCACAGCTTTCCAACCACTCTCCCACAAGCCTATAACGCTGCATGGGGTTGTTGTGACCAAAGTGCAGGACCCAGCACTTAGCCATGTTGAACATCATCCCATTGCATCCCATTGGCCTCTGCCCATCAATCCATCCTGTCCAGGTCCCTCTGTAGGGCCTCCCTAGTCCTATCACTATCAGCCCATGTAAAGGGTAGAGCCATATATATATATATGTATATATATTTCTTAATCATCAGAAAATTTCTAGCTCGGTCTTCTGTTATTAAAGGTTGTTAAAAACACCTCTGTGGTTTCAGGATAGAACTTGGTAAATATATTAAGGAGATTAATATGCAATTATGTATGCATTATGTCTGCATGCATTGCCTGTGTAAGCTGGAAACCAGTATTTGTCCCTCACTACTGTATTTCCTCAGAAACTGGTTATATGATAAGCCCTCTAATTAAAAAAAAAAAAAAAAAAAAAAAAGACTTAGAAAAGACTTTTACTCTTCTTTTTGCTTTCTAGACTTACTTCTTTCTCAGATGTTTCTTCCAGTTTGTGGGCTGCAATCCTCCTTTCTAATAAAATTCTAATTTCACAAATCATAACTGTACTCTACCAACAGGCCTGAGAATCATAAATCTGGCTTATAATAACACCCCAAAAGCTGTTCAATTCTACACTTTAAGAAAAGACAAGAGGCTTCAGTCAGACAGTTCTCCCCTGAAACCTTGTGACAACACAGGATAGACAACTAACTGAGAGCTTTTGTTATGCCATTATAGAAATTCCTGATGTGCATACATTTTGAACACTTGTGTGCTATCCTCTCTCACTGACCCTGTTGTCATCAAGACAATGTAGTAACAAGTAATGTCT